TAATGCCACTGAAGTGTACACATAAAATGGTTAAAATGGTATATTTTATGTTATTTATATTTTACCACAATAAAAAAAAATGAATTTAGTGGTTTATGTGCCTGAAAAAGACAGAAGTGGAGCTAGCGTTAGGCATCCCTGGATCCTAACATGAAGACTCTGTCTTATCTTTCAGCTCCACTCTCTGTTTCTCCCTTCCCCTAACCCCAGTTGGTCCTTCTTAATGTTTCAGAAGAAGAGAGTTATGGGTACACACAGCTTCTGCCAAACATTATCCCAGCTAGCAACCCCAAAGGGAAAGAGGATTTATCTCTCTACTTCAGTAGATATAAATTTCAGTAGATATAAAATTGGCCGTCTGTGCCCATCACCCCTATGGCCATGGGGTTACTCCAGAAAAATCACATAAAATGGATAGTGAAGAGGAACAGCTCCTCAAAGGAAGGGCAGGTTCTGTTACTGGAAGAAGGGGAAAGGGGATTTTAAACAGGTTATTTAAAAAACAACAACAAAAACCCCAAGTACTTTCATGGTTAATTTCGTTTCTCCGACTTTAATTAAACAAGTTCTTCACCATCTGTCAGTCACTTTTCTCAATTCTCTCTGAAATATCCTAATTCCTGTACTCTTGTAGCATGAATGATTTTCCCTTTTATAAGCCATTATTTGCCACCATCACAGTGTGGCGCATCAAAACACCTCTAGTAAAGAAACTTTTTTTTTTCTGTTGAAAGAAAATTGTTAACTAAGTCTGCTATATTTGAAAGGTGAAAAATAACCTTCCACTTTTAATGATGTAGTAGTATTCTTTACCTAGAGCCACTTAACATCTATATGTCATTATAAACTTCAAAAAATCATGAAGTATTCTTATATTTATTTCAGTTCTAAACCTTGATTTCCCCAGTTTGTGTTCATTTTTATTTTCTGCATACTTGATAGATAGCTCATTTTGAAATAATGTATTAAGTTGTTTTCTATTTTATAAAAAGTCTTTGTGCTTTTGGATGCTAAATTACTATAAAATGTATGGTACCTTGTTTTTCTATAATTGTGTGTGTGTGTTCTATTTATTCAGTGAAAGAACTGGTAGCCTGTAGTCAATTCCCTATTCCTAACAGTGTTTCACTTCCTGATGAAATCCAAAATTCACCTTTGTAGACAAAGGGAAATTGAATCCGTTGGAGTCAGCTCTGGGCTCTAGGAGAGAAAGCTATGATTTTATGATGATGTGATATCCTCAGGCCTTCATATGTCCTGAAGTTTCTAGGATTATAAAAAAATGACAGATTCTGGACTCAAAGCAACAGAGGGAAAAACCCCACAGATCCAGGAAGCTCAGAGAACACCAAGCATATCATATTCAAGTTGCTGAAAATGTAATACAAAGAAAAAAATCCTGAAAGAACCCAGAGTTAAAAAACAGCCACTGATATAGGTGCAAAGATAAGAATTACATCTAATATCTCCTCAAAAACTATGCAGGCATGAAGAGAGTGGAGTAAAATATTTAAAGTGTTGAGAGGAAAAGAAAAAACCCAACCTAGAATTCTGTTCCCTGCAAACTGATCCTTCAAACATAAAGGAGAAATAAATACTTTCTCAGACAAACAAAAATTAAAAGAATTGTTGCCAGTAAACTTGCCCTGCAGAAAATGCTAAAGAAGTTATTTAGAGAGAAGGAAAATGATACAGGTAAGAAACTTGGATCTACATGAAGAAAGGAAGAGCTTTGGAAAAGGAATAAGTGAAAATAAAATAAAATATCAAGATACAAGGGAAGAGAGGCAGGAATTAGAATTATTTTGTACTCAAATTACCTGTGAAGCAGTATGGGAGTATTTGAAAGTGGACTTGGATTAGTTGCAAATGTCTACTGCAAACTCTAGGGTAAACACTAGCAAAAGTTTTTTTTTTTTTTTAAAGAAAGGTATAACTGATGCTACGAAAGGAGAGAAAATGTATTCATATAATAGGCTCAGTTAAAATAATAAAAGGTAGAAAAACAATGGAAGACAAAAGTAAGACCAAAGGACAAGGGCAACAAATAGAAAACAGTAACAAATATGTTAGATATTAATTCAACTATAACAATAATGACTTTAAATGTCAATGGTATAAATGCACCAAGTAAAAAACTGATTTTCAGAGCAGGTCAAAAAAATAAGACCCAATTATATGTTGTCTACAAGAAACCCACTTTAAATATAAAGACACATGTAGATATACCATGCTAACACTAATTGAAAGAAAGCATGAGTAGCTCTATTAATTTGAGACAAAACAGAGTCCAGAGAAAGGAAAGTTATCAGAGATGACGAGGGACATTATGTAATGATAAAAGGGTCAATTCTCCAAGAAAACATAACATTCGTTAACAAAACTGATAGAACTGCATGGAGAAATAGATGAATCCACTACTATAGTTGATTTTATTTCCCCTTTATCAGGAATGAGCATATCCAGCAGTCAATAAATCATTAAGGACATAGTTGGACTCAGTAGCACTATCAATCAACTAGATGTCATGGACATCTATAGACTACTTCATCTAACAACTGCAGAATACACATTCTTCTCAAGTTCATATGGAGCATTCACCAAGATACACCATATTCTAGGTCATAAAACATACAGTACACATATAAAAGAATGTCTGCTCTCAGACTACCATGGAATTAAACTAGAAATCAGTAACAGAGAGAAAGTTGGAAAATCCCCAAGTATTTGGAGATTAAACAACACATTTCCAGGCTGGCCGAGTGGCTCAGTTGGTTAAGAGCTCGCTCAAGAGCTTGAGCTCTGAGCAACAGCGGTTCGAGTCCAGCCCGAGCTGAGCAGCCGCTGAGCTACCAACAGGTAGCAGGATGGCTCAGCTAAAAAAAAACCCAAAACAACAACAACAAAAACACATTTCCAAATAATAAATGTGTCAAAGAAGAAATCTCAAGAAAAATTTTAAAATATTTTGAACTAAATGAAAATTATCAAAATTTGTGGGATGCAATGAAAGCAGCCCTTAGAAGGAAATTTGAATGCATATATTAGGAAAGAAGTAATATCTAAAACCAATCATCTAAATTTCCATCTTAGGAAACTAGAAAAGAGCAAATTAAATCCAATGTAAACAGAATAAAAATAATAAGGAGAATTAGAGCAGGATTCAATGTAATTGAAAACAGAAAATCAATAGGAAAAAAATCAACAAATTCAAAAGCTAGGCCTTTGAAAAAATTAATAGAATTGATACACCACTAGCCAAGCTAACGAGAGAGAGAGAGAGAGAGAGAGAGAGAGAGAGAGAGAGAGAGAGAGGAGACATAAATTACTAATATCAGAAATGAAAGAGAGGCTATAACTACAGATTCTCTGGACATTAAAAGTATAATAAAGAATACTATGGACAACTCTATGCCAACACATTTGATAACCTAGATTAAATGGACCAATTCCTTGAAAGACAAAATCTGCCAAAACTCACATAAGAAGAAATAGACAATCTGAACAGCCCTATATTAAAGAAATTGAATCAATAATTAAAACTTTCTAAAACAGAAAACATCAGGACCAGATGGGTTTACTGGTGAACTTTCTCAGACATTTCAGGAAGAAATTATACAAATTCTCTACCATCTCTTCCAGAAGTTGGAAGCAGAGGGAATACTTTTTAACTTATTCTATGAGCCTAACATTACCCTATTACAAAAAAACAAAGACATAACAAGAAAAGACCAATATTTCTCATGAACATAGATGTGAAAATCTTCAACAGAATATTAGCAAATTGAATCCAACAATGTATATCAAAATTATACACCATGATCAAGTGTGATTTATTTTAGGTGTGCAAGGTTAGTTGAAAATTCAAAAATCAATTAATGTAATAGATCATATCAAAAGGGTAAAGAAGAAAAATCACATTATCATATCAATAAATGCAAGAAAAGCATCTGACAAAATCTAATACCCATTTATGATAAAATTTCTCAGTAAACTAGGAATAGAGGGGAACTTCCTTGATTTGATAAAGAATATCAAATAAATAAATAAATAAAATAGAATATCTACAGGGGCTGGCCAAGTGGTTTGTTGGTTAAGAGATGGCTTGGGAGCGCAAGCTCTGAGCAGCAGGGCCGCCGGTTCGGATCCCACATGGGCCAGTGACACTGTGCCCTCTACAGCTAAGATGGTGAACAACAGCTTGACCCAGAGCTGGGCTGCCATGAGTCGCCAGCAACTGCGTAGGCTGCAGTGAGGTTGCAGTGGGCTACTGTAAGCTACCGTGAGTGGCCGGCTGCCGTCATGAGCTGCCATCCAATGGCCGGTGGCCGATCTGCCTCAGCCGGGAAGATCGCAATGATCACAATACCAACATGGGCCAGTGAAGCGGCGTCCTCCACAACTAGACTGAGGGACAAAATGACAGCAACTTGTCTGTTCCCCTTCCTTGATTCTCCAATGCTGTTCCCTCCCCCAATTTCCCAATAAAATCTTTAAAAAAAAATAAAAAGAATATCTACAGAAAAACTTACAGCTGACATTATACTTAATGGTGAGAAACTTGAATCTTTCCCTCTAGGATGAGGAACAATGCAAGGATGTCTCCTATCACCACTTTTTTAAACATTGTACTGGAAATCGTAGCTAATACAATAACATAAGAAAAGGAAAAAAAAAGGTATTCTGATCAGTAAGAAATAAAACTGTCTTTGATTGCAGATGACATGATTGTCTATGTAGAAAACCCAAGAGAACTGACAAAAACAAAACCAAAAATTCCTGGAACTAATAACAATTATAACAAGGTTGCAGACTACAAAATTCAATTACTTTCCTATATACCAGTAATGCGCAAGTGGAATTTGAAATTAAAATAATTACACTATTTACATTAATGCCCCCCCAAATGAAATACTTAGGTATAAACCTAATAAAATACATATAAGATCTATAGCAGGAAAACTATGAAACTCTGATGAAAGAAATAAAAAAAGATTAGTCCGAATGGAACGAGAGAGCTGAGTGGTTGTGTGGTCACGTCTCAGAGACCGGTAGCACTTGCAGCATGGCTGACCAACTGACTGAAGAGCAGATTGCAGAATTCAAAGAAGCTTTTTCACTATTTGACAAGGATGGTGATGGAACTATAACAACAAAGGAATTGGGAACTGTAATGAGGTCTCTTGGGCAGAATCCCACAGAAGCAGAGTTACAGGACATGATAAATGAAGTGGATGTTGATGGTAATGGCAAAATTGACTTCCCGGAATTTCTGACAATGATGGCAAGAAAAATGAAAGACACAGACAGTGAAGAAGAAATTAGAGAAGCATTCCATCTGTTTGATAAGGATGGCAATGGCTATATTAGTGCAGCAGAGCTTTGCCATGTGATGACAAACCTTGGAGAGAAGTTAACAGATGAAGAGGTTGATGAAATGATCAGGGAAGCAGATATTGATGGTGATGGGCAAGTAAACTATGAAGAGTTTGTACAAATGATGACAGCAAAGTGAAGACATTGTACAGAATGTATTAAATTTCTTGTACAAAATTATTTATTTGCCTTTTCTTTGTTTGTAACTTATCTGTAAAAGGTTTCCCCCTACTGTCAAAAAATATGCATGTATAGTAATTAGGACTTCATTCCTCCATGTTTTCTTCCCTTATCTTACTGTCATTGTCCTGAAACCTTATTTTAGAAAATTGATCAAGTAACATGTTGCATGTGGCTTACTCTGGATATATCTAAGCCCTTCTGCACATCTAAACTTAGATGGAGTTGGTCAAATGAGGGAACATCTGGGTTATGCCTTTTTTTAAGTAGTTTTCTTTAGGAATTGTCAGCATGTTGTTGTTGAAGTGTGGAGTTGTAACTCTGCGTGGACTATGGACAGTCAACAATATGTACTTAAAAGTTGCACTATTGCAAAACGGGTGTATTATCCAGGTACTCGTACACTATTTTTTTGTACTACTGGTCCTGTGCCAGAAACATTTCTTTTATTGTTACTTGCTTTTTAAACTTTGTTTGGCCACTTAAAATCTGCTTATGGCACAATTTGCCTCAAATCCGTTCCAAGTTGTATATTTGTTTTCCAGTAAAAAAATTTTACCCCCAAAAAAACAAACAAAACTATATAAATGGAGAGCTATTCCATGTTCATGGATAAGAAGACTGAATATTGCCAGGATGTCAGTTCTTCCCAACTTGATCTATAGATTCAACATAATCCTAATCAAAATCCCAGGGAGTTATTTTGTGGATATTGACAAACTGATCATAAAGTATACAGAAAGAGTTAAAAGACCCAGAATAGCCAATATTGAAGTAGAAGAATAAAGCTGGAGGGCTAACATTACCGCCTTCAAGGCTTACCAGAAAGCTACAGTTATTAAGACTAGTAATTAGTGTGGTATTGGCAAAAGAATAGACAAATAGGTTAATGTAACAGTATAGAGAGCCTAGAAATAGACTCATATAAATATAGTCAACTGATCTTTGACAAATAAGCAAAGGCAGTGCAATGGAGCAAAGAGAGTCTTTACAACAAATGGTATTGGAACAGCTGGGCATCCGTATGAAAAAAAAAAATCTAGACACAGACCTTATATCATTTATAAAAATTAACTCAAAATGGATCATAGACTAAAATGTAAAACACATTCCTAGAAGAAAACACAGGAGAAAATCTAAATGACCTTGGGTTTGGTGATGACTTTTTAGATATAACACCAAAGGCACAATCCATGAAAGAAAAAATTGGTAAGCTGGACTTCATTAAAATGAAAAGTTTCTGCACTGTGAAAGACACTGAAAAGACAAGCCACACACTGGGAGAAAATATTTGCAAAAGACATATCTGATAAAAGACTGTTATCCAAAAAATATAAGGAACTCTTAAAACTCAACAATGAGAAAATTAGCAACCCAATTAAAACATGGACCAAAGACTTTAACGGACACCTTGCCAAAAAAGATATACAGATGGTAAATAAGCATATGAAAAGATGTCACATCATTTGTCATAAAGAAAATGCAAAATCCAAAACAGTGACAATACCAAATTGAACTGACAAGGATGTGGAGCAAAAGGAACACTCTTTCATTGCTGGTAGGAATGCAAAGTGGTACAGCCACTTTGGAAAAAAGTTTGTCAGTGTCTTACACAACTAAACATATTCTTACTATTCAATCCAGCAATCATGCTCCGTGGTATTTACCCAAAGGAGATGAAAACTAATGCCCACACAAAAACCGGTACGTGGATATTTAGAGAAGCTTTATTCATAATTGCCAAACCTTGGAAGAAACCAAGATGTCCTTCAGTAGGTGAATGGATAAATATAGTGTGGTACATCCAGACAATGGAATATTATTCAGTGATAAAAAGAAATGAGCTATCAAGCCATAAAAAGACAGGGAGGAACCTTAAGTGCATATTCCTAAGTGAAAGAAGTCACCTGAAAAAGGCTACGTACTGTATGATTCCAACTATATGACATTCTGAAAAGGCCAAAATATGGAGACAGTAGAAAGATCATTGTTAGCTAGGAGTTAGTGGGAAGGAGGAGTGAATAGACAGAGCACAAAGGATTTATAGGGCAGTGAAATGATTCTGTATGTTACTTTAATGAGGGACACATGTCATTATACATTTGTCCAAATCAATATAATGTACAATACCCAGAGTGAACCATAATGTAAATGATGGACTTTGGGTGATTAAGATGTGTCAGTGTAAGTTCATCAATTGTAGCAAATTACTATTCTGGTGGGGGATATTAACAGTGGGAGAGGTTATTCATGTGTGGTAGCAAAAGGTATTTGGGAAATCTTGTGTCTTCTGCTTAATTTTGCTGTGAAACTAAAATGGCTCTAAAAAAAAGCCTATTAAAAAAAGATGTCTATGCTACATTAGCATTGTATCTGAATTCTAGGCAATGTGAAGAGTGAAGGGCAAAAGGTATATGTGAGCCAAGTCTGCCCACCTGTCTTTCTTTAATCAGGAAAAGCAATTGCTTTCCCATGAGCCCCTTCCAGAAGACTTTCCCTTATATCTTTTTTTTTTAAAGGTTTTATTGGGGAATTGGGGGAGGGGAACAGACAAGTTGCTGTCCTTTTGTTCTTCAGTCTAGTTGTGGAGGACGTCGCTTCACTGGCCCATGTTGGTATTATCATTGCACTCTTCCCGGGTGATGCAGTCACTCACTGGCCATTGGACGGCCGCTCTTGGCTGCTCATGGCAGCTCACGAAAGCTCACGTCTGCTGTCAGCCAGCCCCACTGCAGCCTACATTGTCGCCGGTGACTCATGGCAGCCCAGGCCCAGGTCAAGCTGTTGTTCACCATCTTAGCTATAGAAGGCACAGCATCACTGGCCCTCATGTGGGATCCAAACCGGGGCCCCCTGCTGCTCAGAGCTGGTGTCCTAAGCCAACTCCTAACCTACATGCCACTTGGCTGGCCCTCCATTATATCTTATTGGCCAGAAATATGTCACATGGTAACTCCTGGGAAGTAAAATTTATAATGGTAAGGTAATTGCTGTGGCCTCTATTATGGACTAATTGATGATGTTTCTCAAATCAATGACACCAGCCTTTGTCTCTCTTTAGAACTTCCAACCCTGTCAAGTATTTCCACTTTGATATCTCATAGACAAGTATTAAGTATTCTGATTCCATTATTTTAATACTATTTAATACCACTGTTTCAACCATGAGAATATTTTGAATGTAAAAAACCTCATCAGAATTAGGTTAATATTGGTGAATTTTCATTAAGAAAATAATTGTGGAGTAAGCTCTATCAAATTTGATTTAATGTCATGATAAATTTTATAATTTAAACTCTTTTCAGTTTTCCTCTAATTTTTATTTTTTCTAAAATTATTTTTTTAATAAATTTTTTTTACATTTTACAACAAAAATTTGATTCATTGATCAGTTTTTGTCCATGTCAAATGTTTCCATAACCTCTGCCATTTTATTTTGTGACCATTAATTCCACAAAATCTAATTTTTCTGGTGTAGATATCTTTGATGTAGTTTTTTGAGAAAGAAACAAATTACAAGGCAAAAATAGGGAAAGGGAACACTATAGACTAAAAGAGACTTAAGAAACATATCAGTCAGATGCAACCTGTGCACCTTGTTTGATTCTGATTTGAACAAACTGACCACCAAACAAAATTATGAAACATCCCAGGAAATTTGAACACAGACGGGACATTTAATGATAATAATGAGTTATTATCAATTTTTAGGTATGATAATGTTATTGCTATATTTTGAGTTTTTATCTCTTAGAGATATTTGCTAATCTTAGAGGTATTTCATAATGAAATAATATGAGCTCTTGGATTTGCTCCAAAACATTCTGGAGGTAGCGAATGTGGGTGAGGGTATAGAGGAAAGAAAATTGACCTTGAGTTGATAATTGTTGATAGGTACATGATATTAGTTTCTATACTTTTGAGTATCTTGAACTTTTCTACAATAAGAAAATTAGACAGTAAATCCTTCAAAGATTTGATTCTCTAAAATCAACAAATTTTACTGTGTGCAATTTTAGCCATTGTCAATTTTATTCTGGTGTTAATTATTTTTATCAGTAATGTATATTACAAATTGGATAAAAAATTGATAGTGTGTCTTTATTTCTTAACTATCCATGAGAAACTTGTGATAAATTTCTTAGGATGTTTCTGCAACAAGTAACAACAAACCTTAACTCAATTGGTTACAACCGTAGAATGTCCTTTTCTCATAATCAGAAATTCTGCATTGCACCCACACCAGGGTCTATTCATTCAGTGCCTCAGAACTCTGCCATCCTCAGTGTGTCACCCTTGTCCTCAGAGTAAGGGACTACTTCATTTCCAGCCATCACATCTGGACCCAATAATGTCTAAGGGCAGAAAAGGACAGTGTGTCTCTTTTTATTAGCCTGAGAAGTCTTTTCCAGATGTCCTTGGCAGCTTTCTACTCACATCTAATTGCTCAAATTAGATACATGCCTAATCAATCCCTGGCAAAGAGAATGAGACCACATGAGGGCCTTAGATGGGTCCCTCCTGGAGTGAGCTGGAACTAGAGAGACTTGAGCAGGAATATGGAATCTACTCAAAAGTGGAGCTCTGCCAGCATAAGGAAGGGAAGTGGCACAAGGAGAAACTCCAACAATATCTGATAAATACAGGGAGAGACAGGAAAAATAACAAGGGCATGCGTGGAGGGAGAGAGAGAGAAGCTACACTATCCTAAGCTCTTGAACGCACTGTGACATCAACATTTCCTGGGGAGGGTATCAGAACATCATACATCTCCCACAGGAACCTCAAGAGACAGTTAATGTAGAGGTGAGTAGGCGCTCAATGCTTATTTTTGAGTGCATGAACTTTTACATTAGAGGAAATCATCACTGGCCTCTTGTACTTTTTCAAATATTTGGTATAAATCTGTTCCAAGAGCATCCTGTTCTCCCTATGATTTGTGCTCGTGGATCACTTGGAGAAATTGTTTCCACGTTTGATCTCAATCAAGGCAAAGTAAGCACCGATAGAGCTCTGTGGACTACCTGCTTTTACTTAAAGCATTCCTTACCATCAAGAAATGGGATGTTATTTGTCGGAAGTGAATTTCATTCAATTCCTTTATGAGTCACTTTTGAAGTTTTTTCACGATGTCTTTAAAAACCTGAGGCAAGTAGCCTTAGGGCCAGAAACAAGCCTCTTTAGAACAGGTTGAACCAGTTCCCCCGCCCTGCTTCTTTAATCAAGTTAAACAGTTACAACCACCATACAGACTGTAGCTTATTTATCAAATGCATTCAAGGTGAAAAGACATTCAGGGATCTCAGTAAGTCACCTGGGGCTAGATCAAAGTTTGTGCC